ACATTAACATGTCTGACAAACACGTAAAACAGAAACAGACCATAAAAACATCACAGCAAACATTTTCAAAATAGGACTCACACATGTCATATCCCTGAAGCTTATCAAAGCATCCACAACATGATCAATTAAGCTCCTCCATCTCCTTTAATTCACTTATTAAAAACACTGAAGACCCCAAAGTGACGGCTTTAAGATTTCAAATGAACCCAAATGCTTCATGGAGTATCTAAATATATATCTCATATATTATTTTCTGTTAATTAATGTAAACACGGTATAATACATGGCACAACGTTAATTTTGAAACACCTGTTGGTTCGGTGGCTTGCTCAGCGGATCCTCGGCAGCAGATCATCCTGTCGTGATGACGTCACTGCCCTACCGCTGCAGAAACACACGCTGCGTCAAGTTTCACTCAATATACCGGAAGTTGCTATTTTCCTTCAAAATAAAAAAACGTCATTTCTTATTGAAATTGTTTTTGAACCCAGATATTTGCGTGTGTACAGAAAAATAAAAAGATATATAGGGAAAGATTGATTTAGAGACGGAGATTTTGAATGCTTTTTGCATTTTTTTTAACTTTTGATTGCAGTCGCCTGTTCAAGTTTATTATTATTATTATTATTCTACGTACAACAATTACAACTGCTGGAATGAAAGTCTTAGATCTCAGGCTCCTTAATACAATGGTCATGTTAAAATATTCATTAAAACAAGTAGCTCAAGTTAAACAGTGCTCAAAGTTATATGTAAAATGCAATGAGGGGCCGTACAGGCCGTAATTCATACTGGTCCTCTCACACACACATACATTCTTCTCTTGCATACATATTGTCTTCAGAAATACATACATTCTTCTCTTGCATATATTGTCTTCAGACATGCATATATTATTTATAATATTAAATGTAAACATTGAATGAATGTGCATGAGAGCAAAATGTATAAATATGAACGTTAAAATATATGAATATGAGGGCAAAATGTATGTATGTGTGAGTGAAAAATGTATAAATATGTGAGTGACAATATATGAATGTGTGAGTCTGTGAGACTGACCGTTGAGCGGCCCAGACCAAGCAAGGAGGCAGAGGCAGAACGTCCAAAAATATAACCCGACGTGGGCATTTATTAAAATCATGTGCACAAAGTTCACAGCCTCAATCCTGCTGTTCTCCTTGCACACATCCTGCAGCCACAAGGATCTCACACACCCTACCAGCCTCTAAAACAGACAGGGCAACAGACCCTAAATACACCCACTCTAATCAGAACAACAAGACACAGGTGAGGGGGGAGGAGACAACACAGGACACCAGGTGCACACAATCATCAGCCACAGACATCAACTGTACTGTGCAATCACGCTAATAAAGTGCAATATTACCCGGCCTGAAGCCGTCAGTCCATAGTGACGAAGTTACCTTCGTCACATTTCCTTCCCCCTCTCCCCAGGAAGCACAGTGTCTTTACAGTCTCGGCTTCGGGACAACCAGTCAGCCACCCGGTTTCAACGCCGCCTCCTCGGCCTGCAAACGCTGCTCCTCCTGCTTGTCTCACGTCTCCTGCTGCTTGTCTCTCGTCTCCTGCTGCCTCAACAGCCGTGGCCCCCTGGTCTGTTCCAGGCATAGCCATCCCCAGCCGCGGTTCCTCTCTTTGGTCCCTCTTCTTTCCTCTCGTAATTTTCACCTCCTCACTTGGTCAAATCCCACTTCTGACACCAATTGTGAGACTGACCGTTGAGCGGCCCAGACCAAGCAAGGAGGCAGAGGCAGAACGTCCAAAAATATAACCCGACGTGGGCATTTATTAAAATCATGTGCACAAAGTTCACAGCCTCAATCCTGCTGTTCTCCTTGCACACATCCTGCAGCCACAAGGATCTCACACACCCTACCAGCCTCTAAAACAGACAGGGCAACAGACCCTAAATACACCCACTCTAATCAGCACAACAAGACACAGGTGAGGGGGGAGGAGACAACACAGGACACCAGGTGCACACAATCATCAGCCACAGACATCAACTGTACTGTGCAATCACGCTAATAAAGTGCAATATTACCCGGCCTGAAGCCGTCAGTTCATAGTGACGAAGTTACCTTCGTCACAGAGTCTAAATATATATGTGTGTGTGAGAGTGAAAATATATGTATGTAAAAGGAGAATGTATGTGTCTGAGAGGACCAGTATGAATTACGGCCTGTACGGCCCCTCATAATTAACAATACACATTCACATCATATATCCAACAGCAATGGGTATGGTAGATTATCCTCCACGGCCGGCAGTCTTGTCCTCTTCTTATTTTGTTGACCTTTTTTTATATTGTCAAGCCTTTTTTCTCGATGTTTTAATCCATCGTTATTTGTTTTCTATTGTTGTCCTGCACAGCAGTATAATGGTAATTACTGATCTGATCTTATTCTCTTTTGTAATGTATGACATATGCACAGTGGCAATTCTAGAGTATGTGGGGGGCCCTAGGCAAAAATTCACTGGGGGCCCCTCGAACCAGCTTTCATCACCATCAGTGCCCCCCCCCCCCCCAACCACCTCACTGAACTTCTCCATCACCACGCCCTCTCCCACAGCCTTCAATCATCAGAAGCCAACCTCCTGTCTATTCTCCCACAACAGATCAGAGACTGTACTGACCTCCCCACCTTCAAAACACTGACCAAAACTCACCTTTTTAGACTAGCTTTTAATAGTGTAAGGCGTCTTTGAGCACTCGATAAAGCACTTGATAAATCAAATGTATTATTATCGATCAATCAATCAATGTTTATTTATATAGCCCAATATCACAAATGTTACATTTGTCTCAGTGGACTTTACAGTTTGTACAAAATATCAGTATGACAATACGACACCCTCTGTCCTTAGACCCTCACATCGTACAAGGAAAAACTTCCGGAGAAAACCCACAGTTTAAAGGGAAAAATGGGAGAAACCTCAGGGAGAGCAACAGAGGAGGGATCCCTCTCCCAGGACGGACAGACGTGCAATAGATGCCGTGTGTAAATTGAAAAGATAATACATTTGCAACATAGGTAGTCCAAATGTTTGGAAATGCATGTGTGTATAATAGGAAGATGAATCCACGAGGATATCCATCCAGGACCTATGATCCAGGACCACAGCCACGACTCAAGATCCAGGGCTCGCGATCCAGGACAGAGGAGCGCAGGATCATCCATGACTCCGGATCCCGGCGTATATAGACACCAAAAAGAAAGAAATTTGGGGAAGCTGGGTTAATCGGAACATGAGAGTACACAGGTATAGACAGAGAGAAGGAAGAAGTAAGATGTCCCCCGACAAACTAAGCCTATATCAGCAAAACTAGGGGCTGGATCTAATCAGCCCTAACTATAAGCTTTATCAAAAAGGAAGGTCTTAAGCGCACTCTTAAAAACGGATAGGGTGTCTGCCGCCCGAACACAAACTGGAAGCTGATTCCACAAATGTGGAGCTTGATAAGAAAAGGCTCTGGCTCCCATTGTACTTTTAGAGACTCTAGGAACAACCAACAACCCTGCATTCTTGGAACGCAATGCCCTAGTAGGACAGTAGGGTATAATGAGTTCTTTAAGGTAAGATGGCGCCTGCCCATTAAGGGCTTTGTAGGCGAGAAGAAGAATTTTAAATTCTGTCCTGTGTTCTATAGGGAGCCAGTGTAAGGCAGCCAGAACAGGAGTAATGTGGTCCCTTTTCCTAACTCTGGTAAGTACACGAGCCGCAGCATTTTGAATCAGCTGAAGCGACTTGACTGACTTCTTGGTACACCCTGATAATAAAGAGTTACAATAATCCAGCCTTGAAGTAACAAATGCATGGACTAGTTTCTCTGCATCGTTTTGAGGCAAGATATGCCTGATTTTTGCAATGTTACGTAGATGGAAGTAGGCGGTCCTTGAAATTGATTTTATGTGGGCGTTAAAGGATAAATCCTGATCAAATATAACACCAAGATTCCTTACAGTCTCACTGGAGGCCAAATTAATGCCATCCATAGTTAGTATATCCTTAGATAATTTGTTTCGTAGATTCTTCGGGCCAAGTACAATAACTTCAGTTTTGGTCGTGTTTAACATCAAAAAGTTTAAGGTCATCCACGTTTTTAAGTCCTTAAGGCAGTCTTGAATTTTATTTAGATGATTAATTTCATCAGGCTTGATTGATAAATATAGTTGAGTATCATCCGCATAACAATGAAAGTTTACAGAATGATTCCTTATAATATTGCCTAACGGAAGCATATATAATGTGAACAAAATAGGTCCGAGCACTGAGCCCTGTGGCACTCCATGGCTAACTTTGGTTTGCGTGGAAGATTCATCATTGACACGTACAAACTGAGAGCGTTCAGATAGATAGGACCTAAACCAGTCTAAAGCAGTTCCCTGTATGCCAACTAAGTGCTCTAGTCTTTGCAATAAGATATCATGGTCGATAGTATCAAATGCAGCACTGAGATCGATATTGCAGCACTGAGATCAATATTGTTCTATGTTGTATCATATTGTGGTGCACCTTATTGTAACCCCAAGATGTTGTATTGTGTGGTGTTGTGGACTGCAAACTCAAGTATAGTAAGATTGGGCAACCCATAATCTACCCAGGTTACTGCGAATGAAAATTAATTTATTAGCTAAGCCTGGCACATTGGGGTGAAAACTGTAATTACATTCAAAAGGATTCAAAGGCCTTATATCTGCATAGTAGCTACAGTGTAGATATGGCAATGAACATCTTTAGTCCCAGGCTCCACCAACAATGCAACACAAATATAAGACTTAAAATAATAAAACACAACTGCAGATTGTGTTAAATAAATACAATAAGCTAAATGTTGCAGAGAATGTTGTAAGTGACCAAGCAATGTAGATTCATGTACAATTCCCCTTTATACAGGCTATGACTTGCCTGGTAAATACATCTCTTTTATTTGGAAAACGATCCCGGAAGTGTGTTTGCTTGAACGGGGGTTAACCTGACAGTGGAGAAAAGTAGTGAGGAGGCGTTAGTCAAAACAAACAGGAAGAAACCAGGAAAACACTCCGACGAGACGGACACTGCAGGCCGTCAAACCGCTGAAAAAACAGTTTTATATATATCATTTATTTTATTTTTCATACGACATTTCCTCCGTGGCGTGAGGGCGGTTTCTGGTGAACTCCAGTCCGCATAGAGAGCGCTGTTTCGGGGCTGACGCACCAGCAGGAGGGCGGGGGCTGTCTCTAAGCTAAGCTAAGCTAGGCTAGTTAGCACGCTAGGCTAACAGCCTCAGCCCCCAGAAAAATAACCCTTAACTTGGGAGAAACTTTATTAAGAATGAATCGTTTAATATCGGCTTTAACGGAATATTATGATAAGATAAAAAGAACACGTTTTTAGTTTGAAACAAAGGAAAAAATAAGCCTGGCAGTGTTAGCAGTGCTAGTTAGCTAATTAGCTCCTATTAGCGTTTGTCAAAACATCCACTGACAGCAGAGGGAGGAATCAAAATAACTCATATTTGTATACACACACAAACTTATTAGACATGTATTATCATGATAATATGATGTAGCATTAAGTTATGTGAGGCTAAAAGCTGTTAACACGCCTGTTGATGGTGTCTTTAATGTCTGTTTCTGGCGGAGTGTTTTTGTGTTTCTGGGGCTGAGCTGAACTTTTTAATGTATTCGTGCCGTCGGTAAGGTGTTGTTAGCATGGAGGCTCTGGAGCCTGGCAGCGGCAACAGCTCTCTGCGGTTACATAACGCCAGCAGGTTGGGGAAGAAGCTGATGAACGTCGCCTCCTCCTCAGCCTGGCTCTGACAGCTGTAAACAGACAGACCCCCCATCACACAGACAGTCTGAGAGAGACAGACAGATAAACAACAACAAGAACACAGCAGCATGCAGGAGGCCTGAGTCTGCTGCTGGGAGACAATCTGCAAGAGAGATACAACATTTCACTGAAGATGGATTCAAACCCGCTGATAAACGGTAAGAGATGCTGTTTATGGAGCTACTGCATGCTGTGTTTATATACTGCAGGTGTGTGTGTGTGTGTTGAAACCATGCGTGTGTTTCTGTGCAGTTTGGAGGGAAGAAGCTGCAGCTAAAGCGTTGCAACAGGTGTGTGAAAGCTGCTGAGGCCTGCAGCAGCATGCAGCTAAGTGTGTGTGTGTGTGGCAGCGTGTGTAAACTTGCCTCCTGTGTGCTCCCTTCACTGACCCAAGTGCATTAGAGAAAGTATCTTTAGGTTGTAATGATCTCTTTTCTCACTGAAAGGTATAACAAGTTAAATATACACATCAAAATGTCTGTAAAACACTAGACCCTCGTTTTAAATTTAGTTGAGTTTTGTGGTTTCGTTATCTCAAAATCTTTCCAACAATCCAAACCCACAGAAATCTGTTATTTTATTCATTTAATTGGAGAAACACGGGGAAAACCAGATGACCCTTCAGGGAGTGAGGAAGGAAGTTGGGGAGCCTCACATCAAAGAGACAGGGCGGAGAGCCGGTAAATCACGAGAAAACAATCCCTAACAGGGCGGGCAGGATCCCAATACAAAGGTGCACTGTATGCCAGCATTATAGTTAAGAGAAGAGAGATTTACTGCACACTGTCGCTTAATTACAATAAAGGTTTCCCCCCTAAGACAGTCTAAGGAAGGACATGTGGCGTCACTTATTGCATTTAATTGCAAGTAAACAACAGTGGCCGTTTCTCAATCGCGAGTATGCTTGCTTGGTAGCACATGTCTTCTGAGTCACTTGCTTCAGAAGCGAGGCAAGAATCCTTCCTGGCATTCGGAAAACGAAGAGTGGAACAGGCTAGCAAGTGTGCAGGTGTGCGTCATATGAGAGGCCCCGCCTTACATTTTCCGCCACAGATTTGGGGAAATTGGTCCGTGCGCAAAGCATTGTGGGGATTTTAAGGACGCGAAGTCTACACATGTGCAGCCTCGACGAAATTTCCCCCAAACCAACCAATCGGTGGAATTCCAAGTATGGAACAGTCCTTCTGTGGCACTCGATGACGTAGCATCCTTGAAATATTGGCTTGGAAGCCAGTTTCCTCGAGATTGAGAAACGGCCAGTATGCTGGAATTCCTTCTTCTCTTTCCGTTCAACAACTTCTCATGCACACCTGTTTACAAGAGATGAAGGATGTGCATCAATTTAAATGTAAAGCATTAAGAAGTGAAACTTACATTAATCAGAATGTGACTTCAGATACTAGCAGCTCGGTTTCAAGAGTTGAGGGCTGAAAAAGTGTGCATGCAGACTGAAATGCAACCATAGTGTTTGTGTTGGGAATGCAGTGACTTAAACCAAGTTACAGTAGAAGAGCTATTGGTAAGAAATTGGCTGCTACCCTCGAGGCTAAATCATAATTTATGCAGCGTTAACTGCCGTTCCCTTCAGCTTAGTGATGACAATATATCGTTTCCACATCGAGATGCACAATAGTCACATTTCAGGACTCAAAATGCAAAATAACTCAAATGCGTCTAAAGAGATGTCTGTCAGACAGAACATCATTTCATTAAAGGGTTGTAGGTTGTGAAGGAAATGCCGGCTCCGCTTTCAAAGGGAACCACCTATAACAAAATATTTCTTTAATCAAGCAACCAGAGCTGGCTCGGGTTGTTGTTTGACCACATTCTTAAAAAGATAGCTATAAAAGGTAGACGTGGATGCAAAAAGAAATGCACTTTCAGCTGTATAAAACTCTTCAGAGAGATGTTTGAATTCAGATGCACACCACTACCATATCACGCCAATATTTCTAGAGTTATTACTTATTTACAAAGAGAGCACATCTTGTCAAATTCATCTGGTGAACATTTCAAATATTGTCGTTCATTCAGTACCAGGAATGATTCAAACAGTCAAACAATTCCACTGCGGCTGCTCACTAAACATTTTCTACTCGCCTTTTCTTTATCCCTGCCACTTGAAAACTCATGCTGGACACTTTTCAATGGGTATAGTAGTACCAGAAAGTAGAACGTATATTATGTAACCTTAATCCCTGACTATTGTTCAAATAAGGAATTGCTTTAAAATGAATATTTCTCAATGGTGGCACGTGACCTGAGTTTTTTTTACATGCCACAGCTCAGATGTTTCCTTTATTTGGCAGATGACAGGTGCTAATTTAATTCAATATATTCAACCCACTCTTCATACCACCTGTTGAACCCTGAGTATGCAAAACAAAAATGTTAGCTTCCCTATAGCAATGAGGTGTGAATGACTCGTAAAGTGCTGTGAGGGATCGAAAATACCTGATGAAGCACTGTATAAGTACAGTCTATGTACCATAAAGAGTTCATATCGATATCCTATTAGCAGGATGTAAAACATGATCATATTTGAGTAATTCATAAAAAAGGACCTCATTACAGACGTGATGCTCAATGTCTTCATGGAGACATCAGCTGGAAGTCAGTGATGATATATTCACCCGTTGGCGTGGCAACACTGACGCACTGGGATGCCGAGTGTTTGATTAATATTTGAGCCAAATGACAATGTTTCTGACGGAAAGTGTGTCGAGGGGCTAAGCCACAGTGGTGTTGGTGCTTTCAGCAGTATTATAGAAGTATTACTGCAGTATTACAGGAGTATTTGAATTCATTTAAACATCCTTTAGCATTTTTTAAATAGTTTGGATTACTTGAAGCTAATGTTCTACCCCTTAAAATGGTTTGGACTATTTGAATTGTCACTTAAAAGGTTCATTTTAAAATTTTAGAAATGTATTTGAAGCAAACATTTTGGCACTTAAAATGGTTTGGCCCATTTGTAGCTTATGTACTCGCACTTAAAATGGTTTGGCCCATTTGTAACTAATTTACTCGCACTTAAAATGGTTCGGCCCATTTGTAGCTAATGTACTCGCACTTAAAATGGTTCGGCCCATTTGTAGCTAATGTACTAGCACTTAAAATGGTTCGGCCCATTTGTAGCTTATGTACTCGCACTTAAAATGGTTAGGCCCATTTGTAGCTAATGTACTCGCACTTAAAATGGTTTGGCCCATTTGTAGCTAATGTACTAGCACTTAAATGGTTTGGCCCATTTGTAGCTAATGTACTCGCACTTAAAATGGTTTGGCCCATTTGTAGCTAATGTACTCGCACTTAAAATGGTTTGGCCCATTTGTAGCTAATGTACTAGCACTTAAAATGGTTCGGCCCATTTGAAGCTCATGTACTCGCACTTAAAATAGTTTGGCCCATTTGTAGCTAATGCACTTGAAATGGTTTGGCCCATTTGTAGCTAATGCACTCGCACTTGAAATGGTTTGGCCCATTTGTAGCTAATGTACTCGCACTTAAAATGGTTTGGGCCCATTTGTAGCTAATGTACTAGCACTTAAATGGTTTGGCCCATTTGTAGCTAATGTACTCGCACTTAAAATGGTTCGGCCCATTTGTAGCTTATGTACTCGCACTTAAAATGGTTTGGCCCATTTGTAGCTAATGTACTCGCACTTAAAATGGTTTGGCCCATTTGTAGCTAATGTACTAGCACTTAAATGGTTTGGCCCATTTTTAGCTAATGTACTCGCACTTAAAATGGTTTGGCCCATTTGTAGCTAATGTACTAGCACTTAAAATGGTTCGGCCCATTTGAAGCTCATGTACTCGCACTTAAAATAGTTTGGCCCATTTGTAGCTAATGCACTTGAAATGGTTTGGCCCATTTGTAGCTAATGCACTCGCACTTGAAATGGTTTGGCCCATTTGTAGCTAATGTACTCGCACTTAAAATGGTTTGGCCCATTTGAAGCTCGTGTACTCGCACTTAAAATGGTTTGGCCCATTTGTAGCTAATGTACTTGCACTTTAAATGGTTCGGCCCATTTGTAGCTAATGTACCTTCACTTTAAATGGTTTGGCCCATTTGAAGCTAATGCACTCGCACTTGAAAGTTAACATTTATAGAAAAATACTAACCAACAATATCAGGATCATATAGTACAGGGATGGGCAAATGGCAACCCGCGGGCCGCATGCGGCCCCCACCTCCTCTTTTTGCGGCCCTCAGATTAATATATAAACAACGTAATTAATAATAAAATATTTTTTTTTTATTACTTGTAGTACTGATACCGTCCACTAGACTCCTAGTTACGTCGCGAGCTGCGTAGATGATTTCAAATACCGCGAAATAATCTGTGACGCATTTGTGTGTATTGTGTTTGTTTCCCGGGGCAACCCTCACAAGAAACAGCGGCTGTTGTTATGCCTGCTGTGACGTTAAGCTGCCTCTTGTAATTATGCCTTTACAAGCTTACAAGTTGTTTTTATCATCTGAATTTGGTGAAACAAGTTTAATATTCTTAAAACCAAGACTTTGTTTATTTGAAATCAGATGAAAACAAACTGCCGTGTTATCTATGATTACTACGCTTTTCATTCATCATTTCAGCGGGAGGGGGAGCTGCGCTGAGGAACAGCAGAGTGAGGGCTGACAGGTGTCTGTGTGGACATTCCCCTTATTGTGCGTCAGCAGAGACTGGCTGCAAGTGTTTTAGGTTCAAGTTAGGCTACTAATGTCTGGGTTAGTGTTCATGACTTCATGTGTATGTCATCTAATGGTTCATCTCAATACACACACATTTTCTGTGCTTTCCAATAGTTTAAAATAGTTTTATTCCACTGTTTAATAACCTGTTCAATACAAACATGCCACTTGTAAAAATGAAATAAAATGTCTGTGAACTGATATGTATTTATTGAGCTTATTAGAGGATGTTCCCATTTTTTTGGGGATGTTCCCTTTGATTGTAAAATGTCAATGAAGATGTCAGACTTAGTATATTTGTTAATAATTACATACAACACATGGAATTTTTGTGTGTGTTCCAAGTGAATCTGCGGCCCCCTGGTGGCCAGCACATCAATGATGTGGCCCCCACCACCATCAAAGTTGCCCATCCCTGATATAGTAGAATATAAAAAAAATTCCAATTTGAAATGGGCCCAATGCAAAACTATTGTGCTCACAATTGTGTTTACTGTTCCAATGTTAGCGTATAAGCCTCCTAACATTTTCTAAATAGCACAAAACACAAAGTTCAATTGAGGCTAACACAATTCTCCAAGTCTTACT